TATTGGCCCATACAGAATACATCATTTCCCATACAAAATAATTTGGGGTCCAAAAGACCCCGTTGTGCTTTTACGTTAGTATTTTGTATAAGACTTCCCAAAACTTCATCTATGCACCAAACATTGAAATTTTTGATTTTATCACATAGATATGATATTAAAAAAGAAAACGCTCAGCGAAATTTTCCAATTTTTTTTTATATTTTTGTGATTTTTTCAAAAAACTAACTCTTAGGGCCTAAGAGACCCCACGTGTGCGTTTGAGGGTTAATCTGGATCAAGCCAAAATAGCGCTGGATATATTACCCGCCCACGATTTTAATTTCGCGGCATTTTGTATTCGATTATTTGTATTATCGGATTGTGGAAAATATGCGGAAGCAACACAAGTAATCAGAAGCTATCAAGATAAATATCCGCATATGCGTATACCAAAAAGTGTGGTAAGTATACAGCGGCCAACTTCAACGATTCATCTCTTTTTTCTCATTCATTTGATTCTTTTTTTCAGGCGAATAGAATGAGAGAAAATTTAAACAAATACGACCAAACTGTAGATGCGAATAACTTTTATAACTTACTGAACGATGTAGAAAATCGAGCCACAAAAATTGTAAATTTTATGTCATCCAATGTAAACATTCTTCAATTTCATTTTAAAATTGTATATTTTTCATGTTTTTAGACTATTGACGAAATGCTTTGTCGGCCCATTGCTTTGATTCCGAAGAAAAATGTCAAAGCAAATAGAATCGGATTAATTTTTAAATAAAGAGGAAAAAGTTTTTGTTTGAAATGTTATTTCTTCTCAATCACCCATATTTGGTCAAGCAAATAAAAACACATCTAGTACTTTGAAAGTATATATTTTAATTAACGTTTTCCTCCACTTAGAATAAACATTTATTTTCTAATTATCTGGTATATCACCACCCGGCACAAGCATCGTAATATTGTTTCCATTGAGCAAGATCTGATCGAGTTTTGTGACCCGCCGGCCTTCTGGTGTATTTTCGTATTCGGTAACATCCTCCAGCAGCATGTTAACAAAATCATCAAATCCCAGTAATGTGCCCACCATTTCCTTGTCATTCTTCATGATGATGTGAATGCGGGAACCGATGCATTTATCTACCAATTCTGTAATGCATTTATTTGTATATCATAAACAACACTGTTTTCTTAAACATTTTAGTTTTTATTCTTTCCAATTGTAAATAAAATGAATG